TATCTCTTTCATTCAAGATCATGGTTTCCCAAAGGGCACGTGTGGACCGAACCCCTGAGGTGGCTAGGTGGTCGGGTAGCCACCAGATGGAGCCAGCTGGGCAGTAAACGTGGTCAGGAGAAAATCTCTTGTGGGTCTTACTGCTTCAGTAAGACTAAAAATAGTAGTTTTCTGCATGGTTACATAGCAAAAACTCACAGAACGCTTGGCAGACTGTGTGGTGTGTGGATTCATGTCTGTAGGTTAATGCTCACCAAAAAAACCGGCACACCATCAGATACTGGCTGGTAACTATGTGCAGAATGAAATCTGTGTCCAACTGATTACAGTGGCCAACTCCCATTGATTTTAACAGAGTCAAAATTTCTTGGAGAGTGTACTGTGATTTACAGTACCACTTAGAGGATACATTTTGCACAATTATCTCACATTTTCATTATAGTAACTTCTAGCATAGAAAAAAATTGGCATAATATCTGCTGATGTAGTCCTAATAAATTATTAGTGTTTATCCTTACTTTGAGTTCTGACTTAATAATTCAGTTCAGGATAGACTTATAAAAATTCCCCCCTTCAGTGGTCAGCAGGCTTCATTGCTTTTAATTTTGCTCCTAGGAAAGAAGGGGGAACTTTAGCAAATGTACGCGGCATTTTGGTTCTTTGTTCATTTTAGGGATTACATTTGCTTTTTACATCCAAATCATAAAAATCAGGAGCACCAGCAGACCTGTAACATTTTGAGTTGTTAAACAGAGAGTTATTTTATGTGATCATATAAAGCATGGGGAGGTTAAAAAGTCCCCAGTGCAACCACAGGAAAGAGACTAGAATTGTAAGTGATGTGCTTTCCTCTTCGCATCCTGCTTTTTCATCTTCTCAACGAGGAATTGAGGGGAGATGGCTGACTTTAAATCAGAGATGAAATCGTAGCAAAGACTTAGCTGACAAGAAAACAAAACCCTCACAGTAATCTATTAAAACAGCTTTTTTAACGTTAGGCAGCGTCCTTTTTAGGATTGTGCTGGTGTTCAGGACGCAGCGTGGTGTTTGCAGAGCCCGTACGGGACGGCTGTTGGGCCCTGCCCCAGCCCCTCACGGCTGCGGGTGGTGCCTCAGAGCCTGGTGCCCCGGGCTGCTGCCTGGCCCTGCTGAGCGGGGCACGGAAACACCCGGGGGGGCCTGCTCGCAGCGCGGGTGCCCTGACGGCGTTGTTCTGGCCAGACCCGGGCCCTCCTTTTTCCTCAGTAGCTCAGCCGGGGCTGGGGCCGCCCGCTGCTCGGCGCTCCCCCGGGCTCCGCGCTCGCCCTTGACGAAAGCCGGGGCGTCGCCAGGGCCGAGCACAGCCCCGGGCGGCTGCGGCGGGGCGCCGAGGAGAGGGTGGGGAAGGAGGGACCGGGCCTGGGGCTGCTCCGCTCCGCTCCCCGCCCCTCCGCCGGGGTCGCCGCCGCGGGCCGCGCTCCTCCCCCGCCGACGCCTCCTGCGGGCCCGGGGCCGCCGGCCGAGGTAGGGAGCCCGGGGCCGGGAGCCTGAGCGGGCCCGAGGGAGGAGCCGCGGCCGGGGGGGCCCGGGGGGGGCTCGGCGGCCGCACGGCCTCTGCCAGCGGGGCGAGCCTGCGGGGGGGGCTGGGGGAGGTGGGCGCAAGGTGGAGGCGCGGCGGCGGGGCCGGGGCCGGGGCCGGGGCGGGCCCCTGGGGGCTGTGTCACCTCCGTGTCACCGCCGGGCCGCGTCCTTCCGAGCGCCCTTCGCGGCGCAGCGCCCGGCACCGGCTCCGCAGGAGAACTGAAACGCAAAGAAACGCCAGGCGTGGCTGCGGGCGTGCTGTGCTCAGCCTGGCGCGCTGAGTGACTGCGTGTGCTTGGTGCTTTTGCAGGGAGTCGGAGGCAGCATCTGTAAAGCTGGACCGAACCCAGAAGGTACGGCTGTAGCGTGCCGCCCCAGGTGTCTGCAAGGGATCCAGCGCTGTGGCTCAGCGGCTCCCCGAGCGTCTGCCCTTTTTCCTTTCCTTTTGGCTTCAGTGCAGCTAGGTGATGCAAGGGGCCTGTAACTCCTGAATCTGTTCTCTGAAATGGAAAACCTAGCTGGGAAACGAAATCAGTTTCTGCTCAATTGGTAGATTAAAACAGACAATTGGGTAGGGCTGGCGTTTCTTAAGTGATAAGGAACTTGTGGCCAGCCGATACTTAGTCATATAGCAAGCTCCTACACCCTATAGGAACCTGATGCTTCACCTTTGGGTTTCTTTGCTCACAAAAAGTTATTTCATGTGTGTTAGAATTACGTTGGTTTAGGAAAAGAAGCCAGTTTGACTGCGGGTGGGTGGGGGACACATTATGGTGCTCTTGCTTGCAGGTGAGCAAGAGGCTGAATTAGGCTGGAAAAAAGGAACAGATGATGCAGGAAAGAAAGGATGGGTAGAAAGTTTGTATTTGTTGGTTAGTGATACCCATGAGGTTGACTATCTGAGGTAACAATCTCATTTTTCAAATGCAGAATTCTTCATTTTTAGGAATATGCTGTGGCAGAACAGGGTGTTTTCAACTTCTGGTAAATTCTGAGATTCCTGAAGCATTCTGTCATTAAGTCCTCTCAGATGGAGAGCCACAGGTTTGGGTAGATGCTAACCACTGTTGCAGGTCTATCCACCCAGGTAGTTAGAGATTCTCTAGCATTTCATTTGACTTCCAACCAAATATTTAAACCTTAAAATAGTTATACTTTCCTTTATCTCTTCACAAAAACCTGTGTATCCTGTGGCCTAGCCATAAAGCATGCAGTAAGTGCTAGGAAAGTTGAGAGGAAACCAATTGCAAAGCAGCTTTTCAGATGAAGAATAAATTGGCTTTCTGTAAGAGAAAATGTAAGGGAAAGGGAAAATCTGAAGTACTTGCTGAACCTGGCCTTGAGAGCTCATCAAGAGCCCGGCTTGCTTTAGGTGTCAGAAAAACTAGGCTCATGTAGTTAGCTTTGATCCTCAGCAAGATCTGTATTGTGCTGCTCTGTCAGTGCTGCAAAGCCTTCATATTGAAGAACTTTGCATGAGAAATTCTTTGGTTTAGCCCAAAAAGAAGAAGCAAATTCAGCACTCTGGCCATTGTCTGAGGTTGTGCTGAGCTGGTGCAGGACACACTGAAGTCGGTTTCCTTCTCGTTGGGAGAAAGAACTGGATTCTGCACCAGTTACAGGTTTAGAGTGCTGGTGTAAATGTTATTCTGGGTGGAAACTGGTTACTTGTTGCTATGTTAAAAAGAAATACTTTTCTTCTTGTTTTTCAACATTACCAGACTAGTGTGCTTTCTACAAGTTGTTTGTTTTGGTTTTGTTTTCTTGCTGCTCCGGGAAGAACAGAGCAGCCATTTGTTTATTACTTTGAGCTTGGATTTTATTGAGTGACATGATGGAAGCAGAGCGTGTTACTTTGTCACCAACCAACACACCCTGTTACTCTCATACACTGATGTGTCCTAAGCCTGACCAAAAAAAAAAAAAAAGCTACTGTGGTAAAATTAGGAACTGTGATGTTTTATTTGGGCTGGCATAAAGACAAATGAAGTAGTGAGAGGAATGCAACTATTTGACGAATTTCCTGCTGTGTGTCTATGGAGCTGTAGAGCATATTTGCTCCCTTTCCCAAAGAACACGTTTTTGTTCTCTGTCAGCAGTGCTTGGGTACTGCAGACATTCAGATAATTTGGAGCCAGCCATTTTAGTGCAAAAGAAACCTTTCACTTTCACAATAGCTACATTTTAATATGAAGTCTGTGATAGTGCTTCATGTAAACTTTGCACTGGGGAGAGCTGTTCAAGAAAGACTCACGGTTGGCTCGGGCTGAGGAGCTATGACATGCTGTGTGCGGTAAAATCTGTTCTAGAGACTGGAAAATCAAATGCTTGACTATGAGATGGGGACAAAGTTGCATGTGCAACAATGCCTCTGTGCCTTCGGGGTGTGTGTGATTATATTTTTAATCATGTCATGTGCTTTCTTTCTTTCCTCCTGCAAGACCTTTCCTGATGTGTAGTGCAGAAGGAAAGGTATTTGTGTCAGGAGCAAGCTTGTTCTTACTGTTCAGTGCCGAGTCCTATTGCCTTATTTACTGAACGCTCCTTGGACTCTGCTGTTTGTTTTGAGTTGCATAATTTCTTCTCTTCATGGGTTTTTCTCTGATCCCAGTGCTCTGAAGCACAGTGTTTCACTGGTATTGAGCTTACTTTTGCAATATGAGAGGAGGATATTTTTAGTATCTGTCCTCCTAGTATTAAAGTATTTGTAAAGCTGACAGTATCTTATTGCTGTACCAAACTCAAAACCAAAGATTTATTTTTCAGTGTTTGTTGTTCTTAAACACTGTATGTAAACAGAGCTGTGGTTGAGTTTGGTCATTGTTGTGAGGGATCAGGATTTTTGCAGATAATCTTTTCTAGATTGTAGGTTGGGTGTCTGGAAAATTTAGAATAGTAACTTATTTCTAAGAAGTGTGGTTCAAGTGGCTGCCTTAACAGCACACAACCATTAGTAGCTAAATAAGGGGTAGGATTTTTTTTTTTATTATTATTTTCAGGGAAGCATTCCATTTGTTTGGTTTTTGTTTTGTTTTTTAGCAAAGAATCACAGAATCACACAGAATCTCTAGGTTGGAAGAGACCTCAAGATCATCGAGTCCAACCTCTAACCTAACACTAACAGTCCCCACTAAACCATATCCCTAAGCTCTACATCTAAACGTCTTTTGAAGACTTCCAGGGATGGTGACTCTACCACCTCCCTGGGCAGCCTGTTCCAATGCCTAACAACCCTTTCGGTAAAGAAATTCTTCCTAACATCTAACCTAAAACTCCCCTGGCGCAACTTAAGCCCATTCCCCCTTGTCCTGTCACCAGGCACGTGGCAGAACAGACCAACCCCCACCTCGCTACAGCCTCCTTTAAGGTACCTGTAGAGAGCGATAAGGTCGCCCCTGAGCCTCCTCTTCTCTAGGCTGAACAAGCCCAGCTCCCTCAGCCGCTCCTCGTAGGACTTGTTCTCCAGACCCCTCACCAGCTTCGTCGCCCTTCTCTGGACCCGCTCAAGCCCCTCGATGTCCTTCTTGTAGCGAGGGGCCCAAAACTGAACACAGTACTCGAAGCTATAGTATCTCTTCATCTAGTCTCCTGTCTTGCTCACTGTACTTGCTGATACCTGCAGCACTGTGCCTTATGTGTTCTTTAATATGTAATGTGCAGTAATTCCAAAAGCATGCCTATACCAGTAATAATTTAACTAGGTAATGTTTGGTGCATTACCTGCAGCACTTTCTGCTTTGCGCAGCATCTCCTGGCTCCTGCTGAGTTTCCTGTGGCCCATGTAACTTCCACTTGGGAAAGCAGAATGCCCTGGTAGGGTTGCCAGATCCCTCTGGTCACAGTCCCACCCTGCCGTACACACACATCCCTTGTTTCTGGTGCATCCTGTTTATTCCCAGTCCCAGCTCTCTCTTCTGCCTCCTCTCTCCTTCCCCATGGCCCTTCCTGTCCAGGGTAGTGGTTGAGTCGCCATCCCTGGAGGTCTTCCAGAAGCATGTAGATGTAGACCTGGAGAGCATGAAGCATGTAGATGTAGACCTGGTGGTGGGCTTGTCAGTGCTCGTTTAAAGGTTGGACTGGATGGTCTTAGGGTCTTTTTGGACCGGAGTGACTCTATGATTCCTGCTCACGGTAGCCAGACCTTGGTTCAACAACCCCAGTCTTCTGCCAACTGAAATCTTAATGCAAGTGTTTAAACAAGTAAGGAAATGGAGAGAAGCAATACCAAGCGAATAATTTATGGCAAGAATTAGGACAAAGAGGAGATGCCTGGCAGATTTGTAAACTACAATCTACTAGTTATATTTGAATGGGGCTGTTTGGTTGTTCTCCTGAAGCCATACGCAAGGCTGTATAAACATGGTAATGGCTTCAGACTAAGATAATATGCTGTAGAATCAGATGGAAAGTTCAATCTTTCATTGCTATTACTGCTACATTATTTATAATATTCATTGCTGTGGTTTCAGTTGCATTTTCACTACCTATAAACTAGTTGTTTTCTGTGAAGGAAACTCCCACTTTTTTTCCCCCCATATTGACTCTACCTCTGCTTTGCATAGACTCCAGAACTGTGCTTCAATCCAGCAAGAGTTAGTCCATGTTGCATCAATCAAAACTTCAGTGAAATATCTTTTTCAGGACCGTAACCAGCCAAGATGCCTGTCAGGGTTGATGACGTGATGCAGCTGCTGTGCCATGTTTCCCAGGAGAAGGGAATGAAAGCTGCTGTGAAACACTCCGGTCGAGGAGCACTGGTGGCAGGTGCAACGGCGTTCCTCGGGGGCTTGATGGGAGGCCCACCTGGTATCGCTGTAGGTAAGTGTGCTTTGATTTAGGAGTAAGAAGCGTGGTTAACTCCCTGAGTGAAGAAACTAGTGAGTCTATGTAGTAGGTACGAGTAGGTTAAAGGATGTGTAGTGGCAGGATTTCATGCAACTGAGCTGTTTCAAGATGGCATTGAGTATTTTAGCTGTTCAGAAGGGTGCTGTTAAGTAGGTGTGCATCAAAAGGCATGTGTAGGTGTTTCCTATCAGGGTGACAGTAACCTTGTTGATTTAAACTCCTTTGTTGAGAATGGAAAGTCATACACAGAGCAGAAGTTTAGGTATTGACTCCTCTGAAGGCCATGGAACGAGCTACTAGAAGTTTGTTTGCCTTAGATGGGTAGAGTGCTGGTTCCCATATGCTGAGGTGTACCAGTGTCAGTAGTGTAGCACAATCCTGAGAGCAAGCTGACAGGTTCTGAGCTTGTTATTGTGAGCTCTGCTCCGGCACTGCAGTAAGGGAGTGGAAATGAGGGGTGAGGCAGTGGCAGGAGCGTGAGAGACAGTGGTAGCAGTTGTGGTGGTTGAAGAAGAGCAGCAAAACAATGTTTTATTTCTGTATTTTAAAGCTACCTGCTGTCCGTTTCTTGGTGAACTTTCTTCCCCCATCTGGGAAACTTTCTACAAATGACAAAAAGGCCAGAGTCACAAAAGTCGCATGTGCGTCAGCCCTTGAATAGTCTTTGCTCTTGTGAGCACTTCCATAAATTTAAAGGGCTTATTGGTATTGGAGTAAGTGGCAGTCTCTGGGCAGCATTGTAAATTGTGTGAGTTACTGTTGAAAAGCACTGTTCTGTAAGTTTGGTAGCCCTTTGAAAGAGAATGTCAGCGTAGGGCCATGACACCGACTTTCTGTTGTTACTGGTCGTAATCACATCAGCCATGCGGGATCCTTCATCTTGATGACCTGCAACCACACTTCTTACCAGAGCATTTCTTGGTCAGCTGGGGTGGGGTGTTGATTTGGTAGGTGAAAGGTTGAATGTGCCTGAATAACCCCACAAAGTTGATGGTCTTAATCTCTGTTAGCTACCTTCTGAGGTGTGGACTTCATGGGTGCAGTGGGAAGGTGCTGTTTGGGGCTTGGCAGAAACAGAAAGCTCTGATCATTCTGGGAATCTATAGTAAGAGATGACATGTTAATGGCCACTGATAAGGCAGTTGTCAGTGCTTGTTTTTTCCATGGAGAGGGATTTAGATGATAATAGAGCGTATTTTAAAAAGACCGCTGCCTAAAGGATGCTGTTTTGCTTCTGAATTACAGCTTGAAACTGTTAGCTTCGATTGTGTGGAGTTCTTTTGTGATTGTTGTTGATGTAAAAAGCTGTAAAAATCCTTTTTGGTGCTTTGAACGTCATGTGTAAACCTTGTTGAAAGTAAACGTGCCCGTCCATGCAACTCTGCACAGATTTCTTATACAGGTGGGAATGCCTCTGAATAGAAATTCAGGTTTTACCATCATTTGCTAGAGGGTAATATCTCTCTCTGTTTTCTAGGAGGAGCACTTGGTGGATTACTTGGTGCCTGGATGAATAGTGGACAGTTCAGGCCAGTCCCTCAGATATTATTGGAATTGCCTCCTACTGAGCAGCAGAAACTCTATGATGAAGCAATGGATATACTCAAGCGCTTAGACTGGACTGATGTCGTTCAGCTGACTGCTCTCGTAATGGGAAATGCGAGTCTGCAGCAGAAGTTGGCAGGAGTGGTGATGAATTACCTCTCCAGAGAGCTAAGAGCAGAGATACAGTATGGAGAATAAACCTTTCCAGATCAGGTTTTTACACTGTAATGAATTCTACTCTGACAATTGTGATTCTTCAACATAGTAATTATTAGTTATAATTATTAATTATGAAGTTAGGCAAATCTAAGTATCTTTTTCATTTTTTTGTTTGTTGTTTGTGAAACTAGTCTTTTGTATTTTCCTGTTATGTAATTATGACCTGCCATGTAATTTTGAATTAATGTGCACCGGAATTTAGTTCAAAATCGCTGAAGGGGGAGTTACACTTCTCAAATGGTAATGTAGCACACGGTTTAAAAAAAAAAAAAGTCATTGTATTTTATTTAGGAGATGTAAAGCATTTCTACAAACAGGATTACATTTCTTCTGTAACGGCCTGTAGGTGTCAAAGTGGCTAAGGAACGCTGAAGAATTTTATCTTTTGAGTCCTGCAAAGGAGAGTTAATAGAAAGTACTTCTACTGTGAATTCAAAAATTTCAAGCCTTTCTTTATTTTTTTGAGATTTTTTCTTGAGTATTCCTTTCTGTAAGAAGTGAAGCCAATACCTAAACAGACAAAGCAACAGGAAACTACTGTACACAATTAGTTGTTCCTGGTGTCCTAGAACGGGAAGGTATGGCAAGAAGACTATTAAAAGAGGGGGGAGGGAAATCTGCCATTTTTATACTATCTCTAGTATTAGCTTGTCATATTAGCATCAGTTTCCCACCTGGATCTGAACATCTGCTCCTCTGTTTTCATTAAAATATTCCTAAGAAGCATCATAATGGCTCTGTTTTGCTTTAGAGTAAATGAACTCTTTAAAACTGGGCACTTAATACCTTAGCCAGTAGTTCACCATTTGTTTAAAGGCACTTGAGAAACAAGTTTGTAAATAGAAATATGTGCAGATGTACATTTTTTTTTTTTTTTAATGTTGGAACAAGTGAAACTGCTCTGATAGTTTTGTTTTTCCCCTAAAACAAAGATTTCTCTGTGTGTTTCTCTGAGGTTTATCAAAGTTGAATTTTCAGTGGGGAAGCTTTTAACTCAAAAGTTGCTGTTGTATACATTTGATTAATTTACTTCTGTAGGTATATGTTGTCATTGGTAAATACAGTTTATTTTCCTGCCTGGAGTGCAGGGCAGTAATTCTTATCATTTGAAAACACTTTTTCAGTGAAGTGGAAGACGGAAGCAAATGGTAAGTGGGAACTTCCTACCTTCTTGTAGTAGTTTCATAATACAAACCTGAAATCAGTGTGGTTTTTTTTTTTCAGTTTAATTGACAGCTTGCACACACTGCAATTTGCTTTTTAAGGCTTCACATGCTCTAAAATACTATTTTTATGAAGGCTGATATTTGCAATTTTGTGATTAATTCACAAATTAAGTTTGCTCTTTCTAAAATAACACCCTGCTAACGGCAGCAGATGACTGAATGATACACTAAGAGAGAGAGACCAGCCCTCTTGCAGTTGGCAGTTTGAACACAGACATGAGAAAATTTAACATCCAAATGTGAAGTAAGCTGTAGAAAAGATGTTGGTTTCAATGAATTTAGTAGTAGCCACTATTTAAACAGATCACCAGCAGATTACACTGTGGATTCAGACATCAGGATAGTGGCTTTCATTTTATATAGGTATTCATAAATTGGGTCTCAGAATTCAGGTACAGAATTAATTTGTATGGCTCATGCCAGTGTCATAGCCATGAAATGGAGCTTACATTATGTGAATACCAGTCCTGCTCTGTCCAATGTTACTCTGTTCCTGGGGTATTCTTTCAAATGCTTTTTATTAGACACTTAGAAATGTTAAACTGTTTTTAATCACAAACTTTCAGCCTTCACTGTAGTGTATAGGGATTATGAGCTATAAGTATATGAAGAGAAACCTAGACTAAGTTGTTTGGAATTTTGTTGGGGGCCAGTCTAGCTTATGTTAAACCTTACTGCCACTGAGCTCTTGAGGAGCTTCATACTCTGTGCTACAGAGTAACATGCTCTTAGCCATTATAAATTTAATTTACACATGTTTTCAGGTGACTTGAAGTAGAGTCAGAAAGAAGTGATTGAATTGTTTGTTCTCTGTATCACTATTTAATTGGTTTAATGTACATGGAACTCCTTGGAAGGTGGCAGCTACCTATTTTCAGAGGGGTAGGAATAGGTTTGCAGCAAGATTTGCAGTTTGGTCTGAAATACTTTTCACTGCTGGTAATAGAAGAAGAAAAGAATGCAGCTCAGCTGTTTATCTCAAGTGAGTTTGGATGTACAAGAAGTAGTAAATAACCACCTGTAGTTAAGGAGACCTTGATACGTAGCTACTGTGGGAGAATGAGCATGGGAACCCACAACATTCAGTGTTTTTATTTTAACAATTTATGGCAGTTCATGCTGTTGAATGCTGCAGAAAGATCAAATTCGTCCATATTTCTCTGACTGCAGACTCAGGCTATAGTGTCCAGGTCACCACAGTATTTGCATCTTAGCGTTACTGGGGTATTTGGGCAAGTTAAAAGAACTATTCAGCAAATTTGATCATCTGAGGAAAAGACCTGTGTGAGAATGTATTAATATCAATCTGCTAGTGTTCTTCGGTACTTGTGTGGCTGTCCACCACTGCATCCCTTGTCATTATTGGAAACAGCCACAGGCAGGGGATGACATCCTCTGAAATCCATTCCAGCTGTATAATGTCCAGGCTAAGTGTAGGACAGAGGCATCACCGAGGAAACAAGGTAAAGCAGTGCCAGCAGGTTCAGGAAGCAGCTGAGTCACTATAGGTAGATGTACATATTTATA